AACCGATGCCTGTTATTATGATTGCTGTTATTGTGGACAGCAGAAGTAACCAACATGGGGAAAGACAAAGAGTCCAGACTCTTACAAAGTCCTGAAAATCAGCCCTGCCCCTGGCCCTCTAGATTTGCTTCCTTTCTACAGGCAGCATCTGGACGCACCTGGAGCTTTTGTGCTTGGATGTTATCCAGAGAATGGTGCATGACTAAAAGTTTGTCTTCTCTTAATCTTCCACTCTTTCTTAAATGTAGAACATCCATGCACATTTTCTTGGTTGGTGTGTGACCTTTGCACCTCACACAACCTACAGGCTATGTGACTCCACTTTACTGCCCTTTGCCTCAGGAATCACCATCTTTGGGACTTTTTGTCACATTTTACGAAACTCTTTTCTGAAGGGAGATCTGAAAATTTACACCAAAGTAAAACTGAATAGAAAGGTTTCACTAGGTCCAAAGACTCTAGGGGAAGAAAGTTTCCTTGTTTTATGATTTCGAATTTAAGGGTTTCAGTGCAGGGTATTACAGAGGGAAGGAAAAGTGAAGGTAATACATATGCCAAAGGCAAATGGAGACTCAGGAGATAGAAGAGAGAGTGGTTGCTACTCTTAGTGAGTCCTTGGCCCACTCTGTTCAATTCTGTGAGGAACCTGAAAGTTCTTTTCCTGTGGGAGCTATCGAAAATTTCTCTTTTTGCTCAGTTTCTGTTACCCACAAATTAGTGACATTTCCTGACTCATAAATAAAGAGAAAGTGACAGTTAAGAGTTCAAGGAAAAATAAATAAGACACAAAGAGAAGTAGAGGACGAGGAAAAAAGGAGCTGGGCCCCACAACTGTCTTGAATTTCTAAGAGTTCTAGTCTTAGTCTGTGCATATCCTTTCAAGCAAGCTCCTACTCATCTCTCTCACTTTTTATTAAAATGGTCCCTATTTCTTGCAATCGAAGTGACGACATTCAAAAAATGGGCAAGGGCCTTTAAATCAGAAGTCACATAAAGGTAACTAATTAGCTAGAGGGGAAATAATCTAGGAATAATGCTTCCAGCCTGGGAAGATTTAGAAGCTGAAAGAATCAAAATATCCTTCTTTCCATCCCATTTTCCTCCCTGTTAGCTGCATTCTTAGGGTCTCCCATTTTGATGGCAGAGATGACCTTTAGAAGTGCCAGCCTTACTTTAGACTAGCTTGTCATCTAAGAAGAAAAAAAAGTTTCAGCAAAAGTTCTGTGGTTGATTCTCATTAAGAAGGCCTGAGTAGGTTTGAATCACTGACATACGATTAGAAAATAATGGTGTCAGACACGGTCATACGCTTCCCTTTGAACTAAAACCACATGGGGAAAAAAATCAGGAAAAACTTTTTCCAAGGATGCTAGAGACTACTAGTTGCTTTTAGTATTTTTCCCTTGGTAGTAAATCCTCCCAACGTTTATCCAGGCACATAGCTATCCAAAGCCAGGACTACATTTTGAAGAGCGAAAGGTAGTGTTTTACTTTCTAGTTTCTACTTTCTAGAAATTTACTGTCTAGTTTCTAGTGTTGAAACTCGAAAGCATGTGTCAGCATTTTGACCAACCAAACAGAGGTGAGAACCATGTAGACAGCTTCCAAGAAATGTCCTAGGGGATATGGCAGGTCCTTCTCTGTCCTTTTCTTCCTTACTGGTTGCCATAACGTGAACATGATGGTTGGAGAGGAATAAATCATCTTAGAGTGCACGGTGACTTTAGAATGGAGGAAACATGGTAAAACAACAAAATAGAAGGATCCTGGGTCCCTACATGGTGGAGCTTCAGTACCAGCCTTGAGTCTTTACCTGGACTCTGATTCGATAAAAAAGTAGATCCTGTTTACAAGTGAGTGTTACTTGATCTACCACATAAGTCACCATAATTCTACCATGGCAATTCCAAAGGAGAATGAAGGTGCTGCTGTAAAACGACACCAGTGGAAGGTGATGAGTAGATCTGTCCGCTGTCTCACTTCCTGGAAAATTCCATCCAAGTCATGGCGGTTTCTCTGTTGGAAACTGGATAAAGAAAATCTGCCTGGCCCTGATGTATCTGGAATTTGAGAGTGTGTAGATTCGATGATTAAAAATAATTTAAAAATTGAGCCAAGCACACAGTTATGAGACAGAACTGTATGCATGTCTTTTTCCCAAGGAAAAAAAGCACCTGTCAGAGTGGATTACTCTACATTTAACCTTGTAATTTTCACAATGGAGTGCAGAAATAGCAGGTTTGTCATGTGAAAAAATGCTGAAAGTATATATTATAACTCCTTTCCACATATTTGTTTTGACATTTTTATTAACAATTTGAGTGAAGAATTAATTAAATTGTAATCAAATGTGGAGATGACATGATGCCAAGAGACTGGCTTATTCTGTGAATAACGGACTCATAAAACTATGCAATATCAGAACCCCAACAGGCTTTTGAGGTGAATCATAACTCTTCATTTTATAGCTTGAGAAACCGAGGCTCGGAGAGTGACGGGCTTGCCCAAAGTACACCTGAATGGAATCAGGGGCAAAGCCAGGATACAATATTTCTACTCTTTCTCCTGAATATATGAAAGCTACATCATGACTTGAGATTCAAATAGATGTTTGAAAAAACTGGAGCAGTGAACTGATGAGGCAAGATGGAATTTAATCAGGTCAAATGTGTGAGGACCTACACGTTGGGTCCAAAAAAGCCCCGCCGTACGAGCGCAGCGTGGGGTGGATGTGCGTTAATCAGCACCACTTGCAGGAAGTGCAGATGTTACTTGGCTTCCGGCTTGAGGGGTCAGCAATGTGATGTGGCTACAGAAGATACTGGGTCCTAGGTAGCATCACGAGAAAAAGAGCTTACAGGAGGGAGGTGAGGGTCCTCTTAAACCTTTTGGTCACTGAATTTTTCTCTCACTCCCAGTACCACACTTTAGTAGAAACCTGGACAGATTAGCTCACATCCAGGAGGGAAGCCTAGGATGGAATATGTGAATAACTGTCAAAGGAAGTAAGGCAGCATCACAGCACTGTAATTAGGACCTTGAATCTCGGATTCCGGCTGCCTGGGTTTAATTCCAGCTCTGCCAATTACCGAGTGTGCATTCAGTAAACCTCCTTTTCACTGTCTGCAAATTATGAATTATAATAATAGTTCCTATCTCCAAAGATAAATGAGGTAGAGCCTATCGAGTGATTAGCACATTACTGGCAGGAAACAAGCACCTGGGAAACGTTAGCTATTATTAGAATTAAGAAAGCCAAGTGACGTGGGGATTACGGCAACAATCCCGTAGATTATAGGAAGCATTATGTGAGTTAACATGTGCCAAAGCTTGGCACAAAGTTGGTGGTTATTGTGATCTTCAGCAGAGGGACTGGTCCAAGGTTCCCACTTATGGGCTTAGTTTGGAGATAAAATATTTTCTGGGTTGAGCTGAGATCCACAGAGCCTTATGACCAGGTCAGGAACAGCATGAATGGAGGATGGGGAAGGAATGGCTGTCCAGACGTCTTACCGGGATCCTAGCTTTAGGCATACCTGGTCATGGCGATTTAGCATTGTCCCGAACTGAAGCAGCTGTGCTTTTGGTCATGCCCACTCAAACCTGATTCTGCACATGGTACTAGCGCGGCCCTTTAGGGGCAGTTCTGGGCAAGACCACTGAGAACTGTGCATAACTAGTCCCTTAGGAATTACTGGAACTGGCCACTGCCCTAGGGTTAGCACCCTGCCCGCTGGGACCCTATGATACCTCGGACAGCTCCGGGAGTTGTCTACCACTAGGGGGCGGCAGCCAAGAGGCGCCCGCCGGGTGGAACGAGCAACTCTGGGCCTCGCTCTCCGGCCGGGCCCCGGGAGGGGTGCAGAGGGAGTGGGGTGCAGGCGCGTGCTTCCCGGCTGTGAGTCACGCGCGGGGGGCCAGGAGCTGATGACTAGTCACGCACTCGCGCTCGGCTCCTCCGCCCCGCGTGCACCGCGTGCGGCGGCCCGGCGTGTGTGAGCGCCCCGCGCGAGGGCCACGCCGGGCTGGGCGG